CCTGGCTTTTTCGCTGAAAAGCCAGGCATACATGCACAGTGCTTTCTAATGACATAGACTATGGAGAATACAAATAAAAGTTGTAAAATGTTAACATGGTGCTTCCTCTCTCTCTCTCTCTTCCTTTAAAAAAGAAAAGCAATAGCTATAATTAATATCCTAAGAGATATATGACCTTTACTGCATGGGTCATGTTATCTCCTTGGAACATATACTCTTGCCAATTAATGGAAGATATTAGCAATTTTTAAGATTTTATTTGTATTCTCCATAGTCTATGTCATTAGAAAGCACTGTGCATGTATGCCTGGCTTTTCAGCGAAAAAAGCCAGGCATGCCGATAACGCATTGAATATCATTTGGTTGTATCAGTATTGCTGTTTCTTTTCTGTTCCCCTCTACTGAAAGATTACTAATGTTGAATTTTCCTCCCTCCCCATAGTGACATAATGAGCTTAGGAATCACATTGGTTGGCCATCAAAAGAAAATCATGAGCAGCATTCAGACTATGAGAGCACAAATGTTACATTTGCATGGCACGGGCATCCAAGTGTGATGAGACATTTCTCCCTTCCAAGGGAGGGGACAGACTTGAGAGAACAGTGCCAGCCTTCAGTCTTCATGAAGTGCTGCTGGAAGACACGAGCCTTCATGCAGGTGACAGAAGGCCCACCAGAAGCACCTACAGACTTGAACTCCTAAGTGCCACCAGAAAGTTACTTAAAAAGGGAAAACAGATCTACTAATGGCGGCAACAAAAGAAGTGACAATAAACAAAGTACTACCTGAAACACCTACGAACACCTTGAACTCTCTAACCTCCTTTTTATCTAATGGACTTTTTAAAGTGTATATAAAGGATTTTAAAAAGAAAGAATATATTTGTCAGATGAAAATCATGATATTGTTAAAAGTCAACCAATATTTTCCTTAAAATTTTCATTTCAAACTTGTTTTAAGAAATCAGTTGTGTTCCTTTTTCATATGGATCTTCTTTTAGTGTTGCATTTATATCTTTGGACCTCCTTAGTGCTAAGCATATGACACATTATTACACTGGGGAGTTTTGAAAGATTGTACAAGTTTCTATAGACACAAGAAGTGTAACAGGGAAATGTGTATCAGGCTAGCTACTGGGTGGGTGAAGCAGGGTTTGGCCAGGATTTTTTTTTTCTTTTTCTAATTTTGGCATCTATTTTTGTCTGTTTATTCCACACCACCTTGATGTGGTTTGCTAATTGGCAGGAAATCAGGAAAGAAAAAAATCATTGCCAAGAGTTCTGATATTTTTTAAAATAATTTTGTATAAGTAAATCACACACTCTTCTTTAAACAGGAAATGAATAAAATGGTGAACCTAGCAATAATGTTCCCTAAAAATGCCTAGGCACTTTTTAAGAAATGGTTTGAAAGATGGTTTTAGTAGGTTGCCTGGGTTAAAGGAAGCTGTACAACTGCAACTTTAAATGGGTTGAAGCCCTTTCACGGAATGATTGATGGTACAGTAGGTGTATAAACAGAACAAGTACAAGTACTATAGTGTTGCTTAGCCTTTTAATCAGAGCACATTGGGTGTTTGTTCTTGCAGGGGATTGGGTATCTTTTTATTTTTTCAACAATGTACATTAGAAGATCTAGGAGAAATAATAAGCATATGGCTAATATGAGATTAAGATGAATGTAGTCCCTCTTGCAGAAGTAAAAATGTGAGGATGCAATCCAGAGAAGAGTAGGCTTTCCTACATTGCATATAAATCCAGAAAAAAATTGCATTCAGGTGGGTGGATAACACTCTGTTTTTATCAGCCAGGGCTTATTTTATGTCCATACTTCTATCAATCATACTATTTGAAACGTGGGTAGGCAGATGACCTCATTGTTAGATTGCTTTCCTTGTCATAGACAATCTCGTCTGTAGTGGCAAGCAATGACAGGAACCCAGTCTGCAGCAATTCACATAATCCTTACCAGTGTTGCTACTAATAATGTACAAGCCAGATGTCAGGGTTCCAAGTAACAACCTATATGAAATCAAAACACCAGGGTTGACACCAGGTATACATATCTTTCTCTGGTTCACACACTTAGAGACAAGCCCAGTTCAGAACGAGGAAGTCATACACATTGAAATGAATGTGATTTAAAAAATGTAACCATGCTCTGAAAGTCCTAGGATCTCATGGGCCCCAAGTCTACCCATCATTCTCTGGATTGCAATTCTCTTGTGCAAGCTCTAATGAAATGAATGAGAGATGGACAACAGATAACAGGGCTTGCATGGGACATGTTCCTGTCAGATGGTGCCTTTGGATTTTCTATTACAGGTGTAGGAATATAAGGCAAGTGGCACTTCAACATTTCATTGTGTGTATGTGTGTGTGCGTGTGTGTGTGTTTTAATGAGCTGCTCTAGGGCACATGCATTCAGAACTTCTGACTGAAAGATGATTGTTGAGTGAGAGAACCGTTTTTTTTTTTAAAAAATACCAGTTTTAATTTAATATATGTGTACTTGAGTTGAGTGAAATATATAATTACCATAAGCAATAACAAAGTGTGTCGCAGGACTATATATGAAACAGGTGACTAATGCTGTCAAATATATGAAAATCGTGAGCTACCCAGCAGTGAATAGCTGTACTTCCAAAGAGAACTGGGATGCTTCTATTGGTTTTCATGGAGAAAGATCCCAGGGATCAGTCATATAAATTAAGACTTGTTTGATAATGTGGGCATCCACAAAAAGAAAAAAAAAATGAAAAAAAAAATAACCCTGTAAATGTTCCTTTGTAAAACTTGTACATTTTATTTATACTGTCTTGTTTTGTACACACATTTATGTGCAGTGAGCTCTGAATACATTGAAAATGCANCCTTCCCCTTCCCCTTCCCCTTCTCTTTCTCTTTCTCTTTTACCATTTCGGGTGTTGAGGGATAAGAAGCAACTATATTTACTTTACATTTAGTATTCTATTTTTCATTATTTAAAACAAAGATGATTTTATTTTGTTATAAATATTGAAACATCTAAAACTTTTAGATGACTTCTATGATTGTAACTCAGCGGTAGATTCAGATAAAATCCTTTATTACTGTTGATGACCAGATGTAGCTACAATTTGCTAACAATTTTATGGGGATGAAAAGGGAGAAGGATAAAGATAGCTGGGCAATTTACACAAAAACAAGGAAAAAGGAGAGGAAAGGAGAAAACAGCAGGTAAGCACTGGAGTACCAGACCATTTCTAAAGCATTAATAGTCTACTAGAATGTTACACAGCAATATAGGTTTGTACATGCTTAACAAGCATTTCTTGGCCTTTTGCTTTTTATTATTGCATTTTAGATTGATTATATTTCTACTTGGTAACAAATACTGAATTATGTTTCTTTTTATCTGAAACAATATTTTTCATTCAACCTAGACCAATCAGCCCTCTCCTGGACCAGAACACTCCTGATTTCACAACATTTTGCTCTGTAGGAGAATGGTTGCAAGCAATCAAGATGGAACGATACAAGGATAATTTTTCTGCTGCGGGTTACAATAACCTTGAGACAGTAGCCAGGATGACTATTGAGTAAGTGAACTGTATGCTTATATTACCTATTTCTGCTTATCTTTGTCTCTTTTAATTGGCAGAGGAGAAATATTTGGCCAGGTTATATAAAATTTATGTATTAAGAAGATCCCCAAGATTTAGTCACCTAATTAACACCTTACTCAGCCTTCTATTAAAAAGGGGCGGAAGTACCACAGAAAATTCTGGTCCCTTACTAATATCTGTTTAACTATAATAAAAGAGAGTTTGACTTTGCAGGGTATTAGAAACTATTGTCATTTGGGGAGCTTGCTTTTTGCTAGTTAAGTACTTCAATATGGTTAAAGACAGCATTGACCAAAGGTAGCCCCTTCTAAGCATAAAGCAGATTCTTATTATCGTTTCTTGGGTTTTTTTTTATCCAAACAAGTGCTTCATATTGAGGCATTTTCAGTGTTCATATTGACAACCACACAAGGAGTAAAGAAAGTTGTGCTTCAGAGCAACGTGATTTGAGGACATTAAATATCTCAGTGTGCTCCCTATGCTTTATGCTTAGAAGGGGCTACTTTTGGTCAATGCTGTCTTTAACCATATTGAAGTACTTAACTAGCAAAAAGCAAGCTCCCCAAATGACAATAGTTTCTAATACCCTGCAAAGTCAAACTCTCTTTTATAATAGTTAAACGGATATTAGTAAG